CCAGGTTCGTCTCCTAATAAAGAACAAACAGTTCCCATTAGTCTCTCAATAACAAAACCACTGTCATGACTATGGCAACATCTCTTACGCCTCTGAAGCGGATGACGTGTTCTTGGTTCTTTATTTGTAGCTTTTATATAAAAATTTTTCATTCAAGGACTTTCATCTCGATTTGTGCCAATCACTTTATAAGTTCATTAGTTTACAAATGATTGCAACAACCCGTTAATAAAATGGAACACCTAAAAAGGTTTTTAGTATTTTAAATAACTTCAAGCTTCATACTGCGGCTCTTCTTGTTAAGGAGGTTGAGCCAACAAGTAGCAGGAACAGCCCAGCAAGTTCTGATGCCCCAGTGGAAGTGACTAGTTACAAGGTATTATTGGCACAGCCTTGCTCTGCATAAAACCAAAACAAATCCAAAAAAAAAAAAAAAAAAAAAAAAAAAAAAAAAAAAAAAAAAAAAAAAAAAAAAAAAAAAAAAAAGGGAAAAACCCCCAAAGCTAAACAAAAAATTAACATAATCTAAACAAAGAGCATATTTTCCAATAAACAGTTCGTATTCTCATACAGCCATGAAAAATGTTTAATGACTTAACATACATGTGTTTTTCCTATATCATTAATTTGGAAATACTACAAACGCCGTCATTTTAGACCAGAAAAAAAAAAAAAAACTACTGTGATTTGCAAGACCTGACATCTCCTAAAACGGTATTAAACAACGTATTAAACTTCTTGGCTTTAAATGAAACGATACAACGCAAGTCTCTGCAGTCTGCATTTTGCAAAAGGTAAGAAATACACAAAAGTGTGTGAACAAACTCACTCCTACTGAATGATCTTTTAGTAAGTCGGTAGCCTGCTGTAGGGAGAGCTTATGCTTTCAAATAAAAAAACGAGGAGAAGGGAGGGCGTGGCCCAAATATGCTTAATCCATAAGAACAAATGTGGTAAAGGCCCAAACTGCTCAGTCCAGATACCTAAGGAGAGCGGAATGGTAAGGCTGTAACTTATACTGTACGTGTCAGTTGACAGATTATCCACTAACTTATCTAATAGCTAAAGTCCTCAGTACAGCTGTTATAGGGGCACTCATAGCTTGAGTCTGTGTGTTGGAAAACATAAAAAAAGAGCTTGTTTTGTTGACATTGGTCCAGGTAGACAACAGTCCTCAGCGTTAGCCATCTTCTTTTGGAGGAGTGTACCAGCCTGTGGAGAACAGAGAGACACGTTAGGGATCGACAGTGCTGGCCCAGGCCATCCTACACTCCATCTGTGAGAGGAGGAAGCCTATCCTGGCTTCTTCCTTCTCCCTTAAAGCAGGCCAGCTCAGCAAGACCCAGTGCCCTAAATGCTACTGGTCAGCAGTGGGATATGAAGCACATGGCATATTCCAGGATCAGAGCCAGTCCTGGGGAGCGCATATATTAAATATATCCAAGTTTGGGGGGTTTTGGGGCAGCAGCTATCCCGAGTTGGACAAACTGGACACTGACAAAGGAAGCTGAAGGAGGAACACTGCTGACAAAACTTCATGGAACAGAGGTAAAGCCCCCAAGCCTTCAGGCCACTTAATGCACAGACATCCAAACACAACTACACTGGGACACTTATATAAATCCCATTTTGGGTACTGTGGAGTTAGGCATGCACAAACAGCTGAACAGTTTACCCTTCTTCTGCAAATCTTCCTGTAGGAATAAGCTCTGAAATGTCAGTTGAATAACTGGTCTCCTGACACAATTTGGAATGTTTAGCAGCTGAATCATACCTGATCAAGAGTGCACAGCTTTTTCTAGCCACCTCCACAGCTCCAATCTTAACTCTCCCAGCCCCTATTGTAAAACTTCCTCTAATTGTGAACACGCCGATTATGGAGCCTATTTATGCTGTCCCAGAGAGCAGGCAGCAGGTCTAAGTTAAAGACATCATTCCCAGCAGCATGAGGTGCTGTGAGTGCTTTGTGTACAGCTCTTGATGCAGGAGTGATCACTGGCCATGTCAGCACACAGCTAGAACTAAACAGCCAGCCATGCTGGCCTTTGTAGGGACCTAAAACAGCAAAAGGCTGTTAATGGCAAGATCAAACTCTCCTACAACTGGAAAGCACGTTAAAGTCATTATCTCTGACCTTCCTCCCAACAGCAGAGAGGGTGTTATGTTCCATTTCAGCCGCAGGGAAACTGAGGCTCTGACTGCAGTCACACAAACACTCCCTCTGGTTCACAGCAACATCAATTCCCAGAGGACACTGCGTCCAACCCACACCAAAGAACGTCACAGAACAGGGAACTGGACTAATTCCCAATCACAAGACCAGATACCAATTCTGCTGACTACCTTTACATAACCTGTAAGCTACTTAAAGCTTTAAAAGCCTCAGGTCATTGATTGTCTTCTCAGGCTGGCACAAGTAAATGCAATTACACCTGAAGCAATTTTTTAATGCAGCAGAGAGAATGCTGCATGGTGTAAAAATAGGGTAAAAAAACCCCCCAAACACAGGTGTCTTCCTGTTCTGTTGAAGAGTTTTCCATCCAGGACACCTCACTCGGACTTCTTGCATTTTTTTTAGAGTAGGATCTTTCTTTCCATCTTATCTCTTCCTTAATGATTACTACACTAAGGTCTTGCCACACTGAAACAAAGCCTTTCAGGGAAGGGACAAGCTTCCAGCAGATAATTCACTAATAAATAAGACCCTTTGAAAGCTACAGGAACAATGAAGTTCCCTAGATCAACTGGCTGAAAATGAAATGCAGCTGCCTTCCAAGAAACAGTAGGAACATGTGGAAACATTCCTGTAAACTGGAAAAGCTGAAATGACTGCAGTCAAGTTCCTTTAAGCCCTCTTGTTTTCGTAGTGCAAGAGGAGAAGGAAACACCATTTACAATCTTCCTAAGACACTCTGTCACTTCCAGTTTCTCTGTGGCCAAACACCAGTTCCCAGGATGCTGTGCAGGCAAGGACAAAGTCACAAGAACATACATACCATTCTTCTCATGGATTTGTACTAGCGACTTATAGGACTGCTGTGCTCTTGCTAGATTATATTGATTCTAAAAGGAGGAAAAAAAAACAACATAAAAACCTGCATCTAGACATGGAAGACTTAAAAACAGTTTACAGGGCAACTCTACAGTGGGCTTACAAATAAAACCCATGCACAGTGTTGGAACATTCCTGGCTTTCCAGTACAAGGTCATCCAGACATGTATCCTTATTTTCTCATATTTTCCACTTAACAACAGACACCCAAGTGACAATTTTGCTGCCTTAAAAATCCAAACATCTTTTGAAAGCAGTATTTAATTCTTCCAGGTCTTTTGAGTTACCAGCATGCACCCTTGAACTGAACTGTGCTTCCAATTAATGCTGGATGATGAGCTCTGAAGTATCTGCATGTTATTATTTTTCCCTCTCATGAAACTTAGTCCAGCAATAGGAGGAGAACTTCTTACCACGAGTGTATGTGATCCTGGCTGTCACCTACAGCCCTTCTCAGAGCCAGACTGTCCAAATCCTCCCAATTCTGATCCTCCTTCCCTCCCTCCCTCACCAAGGCAAGGATAGTAAAGTCTTAACCGCTTCAAACCCCTGCCCATCCCAAGGTTTTATCAAACTTATATGCTCATAATTACATAACAAACTCTTAATTGCCTATAAAACACTCACACACGTGCACTGGACACCAAAACAACTCCAAATGCAAATGTATTTGCAATGACAGTTCTGTCATTAAACATCTTCTGTGCAAGTCAACAGAGAAATGGAAGCCTAACAGCGATTTGTACAATTGATAAACAGCACATTTACCTTATTGGCTCCAAACTGTACTCTGGCTTTTCCTTTGACTAAAGTGGCATTGATCTGCATGATGACTGATTCTATTGAGTAGGCACTGCTCCAGCCCTGGGGGAGGAAGGGAATATTAACATACGACATGTTTCTTGTGCGCACCTTGTAAATCTATTTTGGAATGTGTGCTTGGGGATTATTTTTTTTTTTTTTTCTGAACTCCAGTTTTTGTTTTATCTACTTGTTTTCAGTTAACTTTTATTTTCCACAGAAAATCTGTAAAATCATACACAGTATTAGTACTAAGAACTTGTAAGGAAAATGAAAAGGCTGAATCACACATTTCCAAAATACAGCAAGACAGAAACAAAAAGGCTCCATTCCTACAGCATTTACACATTTTCAGCAACATCACAACAGAAATTACAACTTCTTGTTCCAAGAAGCAGAAAAGCCTGACATCTAATGAAGTCATGTGACAATTTTGCTCCCATGACTACTATTGCTCACCTCTGGCACTGCTTTACCTTCCAGTGCTCACAGGAGCTTCTGCCAGAGCCTGCAGATTGTTCCTTCATTCATTTACTTATTTAAAAGAAAAAGAAAAAAATCTCTCTGTCTACACAAGAATCATCTATGCCTAGGAGCTCAGAAATTCTGAGAGGGCAAAGCTGGTGTGCTCTCACTTCTTCTGCCTCTTCCTCAGATCTCCTGTGAGCCACTCAAGGCAGAAAAGGAGATCTCACCCAAGATCTGCAAGGCAAATCTTGTGGGACTGAGGTTTATTGCACCATGCTCCCTTTGGAGTGTGTCATTTATTCCACACAGGGATTCTACAACTCCGGGAAAACACCTGTTTTTCTTATTTTAAAGCATGTTTTGTTATTATCCAGATAACAGAGCCCGTATTCACCTGTTTAGTAAGAAGTTCCATGCATAATGCACCTCCACCTAGGACATACCTAGAAACAAAAGGTGAAAGAAAATACATTTGACATCAGCAGTCTGTAAAAAGATGCAACTCCTCACTGCACTTTAAGCTCCTGCCAGCTCGTTTGTTAAATTCATTGTTCATAAAGCTGAAATCCCTTTAACCAGAAATATATTGGAACTAGTGAGCCATGTTATACTTAGGCAAAGGAGATTAGCATTGAGACAAAAAAAAAAAAAAAGTTGTTTGCTAACTAGGCTTGGTTAAAACCAGTGACTGATCCATCTGCACAATTGCTCACAGACAATGGAAAGCAAGAAAAGTGGCTTTTTATGGCTACACTAACATAGGAGTGACATGCAGTTAAAACCCAACAAAATTCAATTCTGTAAAGAAATGTAACACAGTTTCCAACAAGACAGGTGCACCTATAAATCAAATGAGATCAAGCAGATCTCTGCTTGCTCCTGTCCTATAAACTCTGTTTTAATTCCAGTAACATTCCATTGTGCCGACTGGGCCTCAGCAGAGGAGCTGAGCACCACAAAACCTGCACGGAGGGAGCAGAATTTACCACTCCCAAAACATGCTCTGCTCTGTGATCGAGGCATTCAAACCACACAAGATCTGTGTGATGTTCAGAGGGAAACGACCCCTGAAAAGCTCCTCATTTTTTTGATTCTACAAAGTCCAAGCAGAACAAAACAAGAATCCAAAGGAGTTTTCTGGTGCTGGGCTCTGCTCGTTTAGTTTAGAGATAGCAGCACCCCTCAGGAAGGCTATTTACCTGCACTAACTGTGTCCTGAAGTCAAAAAAGACACACAGCAATTGAAATCAAATCAGAATCAGCTATCACAGACTGCATTTCCAAATGCAGGTATCATTTTCTGTCACCAGAAGATGCACAAAAGCCTTGGAAGGTGAATTTAATCTTCCCCCCATGGATACACAAAAGTTTCTGTGCCACAGGCAGCACTCCAAACATGCTTTAGATGACACTTGGAGCATGGTGTCGATTAAATGTAGCAGTTTGGGATTAGCATTGGAGAATGAATTCTTAAACAAAATCTTTATGGCAGGGTTAGAGCAAGAGAGAACCAGTTAGGACTGTACAGCAAATTTAAGGCAACGCAAGAATCACGACCCATCCAAAGCACCAACCCCAAACATCCACATTTTTGCCAGTTCTGGAACGCTGTGGCAGGCACAGAGCTTTTCAAGCTGGGACACTTTTACCACAAAGTACAATTTATCTGCAGGGCAACTCAAACCTACCCTCCTGTGAGCACAGGAGATACCACTCGCACAAAGGGAGGATCGAAAGGGAAGTTATCCTGAAAAGAATAAAACAAAAACAGGTTAAGAAATACACTGTGACGTTATTTCGTAAGCAGAAAGTATTTCGACAGCCTTATCTGGAAGATCAGATTTGAAATAGTACAATTTTTCAGTTCTGCCAAAAATCACTTTTCCACAGTAGTGGAAAAAAAAAAAAAGAAGCATTTTCTGGGAAGCTTTAGTGCAGTTTTCTTTTTTTTTTATTTTTATGCCACAGATCCATTTTTACCCAAGTTACAGCTGAGGGTCATTTCAGTCACTTTGCACAGTAAGCCTCACACTGAACCCCAGCATTTCTTCCCCCACACACATACCTTAAAAGAGAAGTTGAGTAAAATGTATTCTACACCTTCTTTTTCTTTTAAGACCTGAAGATCACTATGCAGTGGGCTATCAGGGTCAACCCTGTAAGAGAAGCAGGGGGAGATCCTGGATGAAGTTAATATTTTCACTACCCGTAAACAGGAATTCTCAAACACTTCCCTGACGTAATTACAGTTTACAAACTGAAATCTAAGGTGAACTCTAGGAAATGCTTGCTCCTTTTACAAAGTAAACACTTTGCCATGAAAGCTGGCTCAAATGCACTACACTGCCAATGGTATCAAGTGTTACTTAAACATGGCACAAAATAAGCTGTTTGTTCGAAGAGAACAGTTAATTCTCTTCAGTTCACTGGAAATCTGTGTTCAAAAAAAAAAAGGGGACAAAAATTAACAGGAGGACTGTAGTCATCTGGTTTTCAGTACACAGTGAGGGAATCCTTTATGGAATATGTAATTGTAGTTCTGCATCAGCTGTTACACATAATCTGCATCAGCAGAAATACTAAACCCAGCAGCTTCTGCTCAGCAGAATTTCAACAACTGTTTGTTGCAAAATGCGGGTGATGAGCAGCCTGGCCATTAATTCGGTCACTACTGGGTTAACCCCACCAAGCTCTGACACCCCATCAGCTTTTAGGAGAGACTGGTCAAAAAAACACCTGCAGCAAGCCCAAAGCTTATGTTAAAGGGACTGACAGGCCATGAAAGCCAATCCTCTGCTACAGGTGGAGTCACAAAGTTATGAGATCCCATTCCAGAATTACTTGGGCAGTTTGTCCCCGTCCTTCCAGTCTGAAATTGTTTACAAGAACATCTTCCAGTGCTTAGAAACCTCTCATTTCCAGCCATAGCTTGTCCTGGGCCACTTCAGTGTGACGTGTTCTAGTCCCAGTGCTGTTCCTCACCCACATGGGCTCTTCTCTCTGACATTTACCCCCTCGGCCAGTGAGCACAGTTCGTTTGTTTTCAGACACTCTTTGCCGTGATGAACAAACACAACACTTATTCTCTTAGTCACTCTGGAAAGCATTTGCTGCATGCAGCCCGTTTTCTCTTTCCTGAAGGCAGGAGATGAGACCTGTTCCCAGCCCCCCAGCAGAGGTTTCCAATCACTGCACAGCAGTTTGAGCGCTTTGTTAAAGGTGCTCAACAGGAAAGGCCTCGCGTAACGTGACACGGATTTTTCTGACACGTCATTCCCGCCATTTTCAGCTCCAAAACATTCACAAGCCCCTGATTACACCAAGGAGGACACAGAGCCGTGTTTCAGCAGGTGGTGACCCAGCTGTACAGGTCTCACAGGCAGGTCAGCACCGTGCTGGGACAGCCACGTCCTTGTCCTCGTTCCCCACGACAGGTCTCAGCTGAGGGAGGGTCTTTCATCCCTTGCCATCTTTTGCAGCCACCCAGCACGGCTTGGGTAGGCTCTGCCTTTCTACAGGGTACCTTCTGGGATGGCAGATGATCTCCTTACCAGGGATAATTTCAACAAAACACCCCTAGATTACAGTTACTGGACTATGGACACAACAAGATGAGTTATGTACTGCTTGTCATTGTGCATACGAGGTGATGAGAGAAGACAAATCATGGATAATGATATAACTCACATTTGTGTGATATCTAAAAGTTTCAGTCCTATGTGTCTGTTCAACTGTAGAAATAAAGAACTAATGACACTAAGGCAGTTCTGTTCCTTCTTACATCTCGAATGAAACTAAATATTGCATTTTCTTGACATTCAAAAACAACTAAAAACAAAACCACCCAAAAACTCCAGAAAAAAAAATGTTCATAATTTAAGGTTTCATTTTTTTTGGAGCAGTTTTAGAAAGAGAATTGAACAGTAATGACAGTTACTGGATTACACACTGTGTTGGCAGTGCAAAGAGGGTTTGTCTTTTTGCCAGCTCAGTTACTACAGTTCCACATCTACACGTTTCTGTACATCAGAATTAGAGCCACTATTTAGTGGCTACAGTCACCACTACTACTTTTACTACTGTAACACAAATTTTATATGCTCTGGCTACAGATTCCCATTTATCTACAGTAAGAATCTCTGCAGCAATAATAAAACAGGTTGTTCAGAATATGAAAAAACTCGAATAACTTACTTGAGAAGCTTAACATGCCATTCATACAAGCTGTCATTTACCAGTTCCACTGAATATATCCCTGTAGAAACATCAGACGGGATTAATTATGCACTAAAAGCGTTACAAGGTAGAACTTAGCAAAAACATTCTTTGCATTTAAGAACAAATACTGTCAGCAGATATAAGCAATGGGTGACATACTGACACTGCAGCATTTTCGTCCTCTACTACAAGCAGCAGAAGCACTTCTGAGCAACTACAAAAAAGAAAAAGTCTTTTCACTTTAAAAAAAAAAAAATTCTTGTATATCCCAGCTTCCTCTCTGCATAAATTCACAAGCAATAAATCTTTACCCATCAGACAAGATTCAGAACACAGTATCAGCCATGGTCAAAAGTCTGATCTCATCCCTCACAGACTATTTATGAACATACACTAAACCATTAGGATTAAACTTGTTACCTGGCCTAATATTCACCAGCATCTCTGCTGCTGCAGCTGCTGTAATTATTTGGAACACATATGCAAATCAGGAACCTGCCAAGGATTTCTGAAGTCACAGTGCAGTCACCACACTCTCTCCAAGGAATGGCAGTACCTATTCCTGGGTTTTATTATTCTAGAACAGAGATAATCTTGCAGTTGAAACTGAGAAGCAGAAGGTGCTTGCATACAGATGACATTTCAAACTGTCCAGACACCTTTATTTCGAAAGCATTTCAAAACTCAGTGAACAAGGTGAAGAATCCATGCCTGTTTTTTCTCCTTCCTGAGTGCACAAGGTAGCACAGCCAAGAGCATTTCTGCAAAGTTTATTACGTCTAGAAATACAACATAAGCCTCAACACTCACTCAGTGTCCTCTCCATGTCCCTTTTAAATCAGCAGCTGGTTCAGAGACACGACATTTCTGTTCCAGCATGAACTGAAGGAGCTATTAAGGCCTTTTTCCAATTCCCCAGATCCAAGGACACTATTTTCTGATTCACCTTCACGTAAGTGGAAGTCAGGAATTATAAGAATTCTAATTTGTACTGCTCTGATGTAACAACGAAAGAGCTGACACACAGAACTCTGCTCACTGTCAACTCCCATTAATGAGGAATCTACCCCACTGTTGTATCCAGAATATCTTCTTCCACCTGCATCCAAGTGGGAGCAAAGACTGGAAGCAGCAGCCTCTCGGTATTCCAGCTTTGGCACCAGCACAGGTATAAAACACTGGCTGCAGACAGTGGAAGAAGTTACAGTGAGGATCCTGACACCGTCCTAAGCAAGAGAAGATCCCAAGAGAACTTCAACAGCTTCAGACAGGAGTTTCTTAACAACACTATGAGGGGTTTGGGTTGTTTGAGGTTTTCTTAATAATCAAGAGGTGTTATTTGGAAGCAGCTCAGATGCTTTTTTTCCTTAATTTTGACAGTTTGAGGAAAAAAGTTTCTGTCAAAAAGAATTTATCTGATTAATATCAGTTTCTGAGGGGTCCTTAAGGTAGGAAAGGAATCAAGGTAAGCTCCTCTCAAACATTCACCTTCCCCGTGCTTCAAGAGTTTCTTTGGTTTATTCCTCTGAGAGGAATTCCTCTCTAGACATGATCAAGTAAAAACAAGCACACAGAACCACGCAAGCAAAAAATTAAGAAATTAAAAGGTAAGAAGCAAAACAATTCACTCCAAAAACAGAGGCATTACTTATGACACCTTTACTACATCCAAAAGTAACTCCCAAACAGTCTTTGGATAAAAGCAGTGAGTTGATGTCACTATAAATGAACATCACAGCTGCCAAAAGGTATGAAAGGATTTTGTTTGATATCTCCCCTTTCTTCCCTGATCCCCCAAATTACTTTAAGATCTTCGTGAATCTCCAACTTCACATTTGGAACTTGGCAGGACTTGTGACTCCCATTACCTAAACAGGTTAATGAAACTGTCTAATTCATGGCAAAATAAATTTGCTGGAGTGCTTTTTGCTTCTGTTTGCTCATATGAACATTATTTTCAGTTTCTTTAAGGGCAGTTCCTCACCTGGACTGCCCAGCTTGTCATCTTTTGCCTGAACTCCAACAATATTATATCAATTGATAAAGGAATTTGAGTTCTAAAATGGATGCTACCCCCACTACACTTCTACTGTTGAGGATGTCACTGTGTCTTTTAACACTATTTTTTCATAAAACATTTTAACAGAAAATAAAAAAATGTAAAGGACTATTACTACAAGTATTACTCCCTTCAGAACTACCACTACTGTCCTACTGTCAGTCCTAAAAACACGTAACCTCACACAGACTAAATAAAGTGATCCTTTCCCGAGTAAAAAAAAAAATCAGCCTTAAGACTTTCTGGCCTGTGTTACAAAAAATGAAAACAGTTTTAAACTTCCTTGCAACAGTTACCAGAACCTTTAAGTTTCACAACGGTTCTTTCGTGTGTTAATAGGAAGACATTAAATTAAGGGAAAAAACGGTCCATGGAACAAGTAGTCAGAACAAAAGCGACATTAAAAAAAGCCAGTTACCTACCAGACCCTGCACACGTGGTGACAGTTGCCTCAAAAAAGGCAGAACTAGGCTATAAAACCATGAGTTTTGTGCAAAGAACCGATACTTAAATTTGCTTAAAGAGGTCAAAGAGTAAGCGAAGCCGTAAGGAACGAATGTAGGCAAGTTTCATAACAAACAGCACCATGTACCGGCAAAATTTAGTAAATGTGTCAGTAGAACAGTGTTTCAAAGCAGGATTGCCATCAGCTTTGTAGTGCCAGCCTCCACTTGACACTCTCCTTCATCAACTTGCTTTAGAGATGAACGAGGCACCCGGTTGCAGTCTCCTCACAGTCCCAGGTCACCCAGCTATAATAAAGGTACTACACTCACACTCCACAACCTCAGCTTTCTCTACACTTTAGCAAGATTTGCTTTTCCTCACCAGTTAAGAGTTGTTATTAACCTAAGGCCAAGAAAGGGCATTATTAAACAGCCCAAATCCTCCCCTGACACTACACCTCCCGCAGGGGCTCCTGCTCCCCACCTGGTGACGAAGCCCCACACGACAGCCTTTACAGGCAGGCAGGTTTGTGGCAGCCAACCTGAGCTCTCATCACAGAAACAAACCCTGAAGAACATCCCTGGGCAGGAAAGGATCCCTCATGACTTAATGCAGATCTATTTTCTGGGCTCTTCCCTAGACCCAGGAATCCATTCCTCACTGTTGGCTGGTGATGAGGGCACCCTGGCGAGCACTCAGCTGCAATAAACCCTAAAGAAGTGGGCCATGTTAGAGCAGCACCAGGTGCACTGGGTTACCTACTCAAATTTACACTTGGAATGTCAGCACGTAAAACAATTTACTAAGAGTTAAATATGACAAATCAAAGCAGGAGCCTCTTCACCTCTGTCCTTTTGCACAAGATTGAAATGCCGTTGCCAAGGGAGGTTTAAGTCCACTACAAATAAATCTGGGGGGAAGTTCAGAAAAGTAAAAGACAGATGAGCAAAGTTTAGATTGACTCTCTAATGGGGCATTTTGGCAGGCCTAAAGGAATAAATCTTGCCCCAGATCTATGTCATTTCTCCTTCTCGTAGGGTAGCACTCAGACAATTCAATATGCTGATTCCTTTGCTGAGCTGGTTTAGAAACAGGTCCCACAGGGAACAAATGGAACAGCCACCCACCCACCCAAAAATACTCAGTGTTCACTGTTCAAACAAATTTAAAATGCAAGCCTGTTTTCTGCTGTCATTGATATAATTATTCCAAGGAATACATGGAGCTTAGGATCAGATTAATACCATCACAAAATAATAAAAGTAACAGCAGTGTAACTAAGTGTAACACAAATGTACTCCTTTATGTAATGAGATTATATGTAATATATCTAGGTATTTGTATATATGTGCACACAGAGACACACACAGGTACAGGACAACAAAACACAGAAGGATTAGCTGAAATATTTCCAAGAGAATTCTTTTAAAGTGTTTTCAAGAAGGGCAATCTGAGGCATTTTACCTGTTTTATAACTCTGTGATCTATATATATCCCTGAGTTCTTTCATAAGTCGATCTGAAGCCTGAACTGACCCAGAGACTGCACCCTGAAACAAACAAACAAACAAAAAAAAGACTCCAAGTAAGTGAAAAGTCATATTTGCAAACAGCTTTATTTACATAGGAAGTTACACTAACTAAAAAGGTATTAACAATATATTCATTTCTGCGTTGGAACTACTTTTTTGAAAAGTTAAAACATTCTGGTGAGCCAAGACTACTCAGAAGAAAAAAGGCAGTACATTAATATAAACTGCAACATGGTGTAGGTGATGCAAACTTTTAACCAAGGTACAAGAGGTACTCCTGTAAATCTCTCTGGCATTTTGATTTCCAAGATGGATCCACTGCACGTTTCTAACAGCAAAATATTTCAATTTACCTTCTGCTTTTATGCACCAGAGAAGCAAGACCAACCAGCACATTTGGAAAATGTGAACAAAAGGAACATTTATTTGCAACAGATGGAAAAAAAAAATAAAAAAATCAACACCTCCACAGAGGAAGACTAAGGCAAGTAAACCTCAAAATACCAAATACTTTCTGGGATTTGTCACAGGGCAGAAATGTCTTTTCTTCCAGAGCTCAGTTTTGTACACTCAGCAGCTCGAAGTGATAGAAAACTTAGCCCACAGTTTCTGAACCTGAGATTTCAGCACTAAAGGGAAAGCAAAATATAGGATAAAAGAGAAAAGGAGACCAACTTTAAGTGGCATGCATATAAAATATATGATGGGCTCTAAAATCCACCAGCTACTGACAAACTAATGAACACAGCAGTTACCCAGGAGCTGATGTCTCCTCCCAGGAGCTGCTGCTGCACTGGATGTGTCCTGCACATGTCACCAGTGCTCCCATTCCCATGACCCTGGGATTCAATTTTGCCTCAAATCTTCTGGGCTTTCTATGAGGAAAAGGTTCTGTCCTGACTTAAAAGCTGAAGTGCTTATTTTGAATAACATGACCATCAGAAGTACCCAGACGACTCTCTCAAAGCCGATGTCAAAGCCAACAGGATGGATTCTGATACTAAACCTTAGACATCACCCCCATTTCTGGAGGAATATGAAACAGCTGTGACCATTGTCTAATACCTATACCATCATCCCTATTTGCCTGAAGTCATCAGTGATCTTTTATATTCCCCAAGGTCTTAATTGTAGAACCAAATTATCCCTTACTGATATTTAATTCTTATAAACAGACTCCTGTCTTCCCTGTCCAGTGGCATCACAGAACATGCTTAGCTACTCATTAGAATCTGCAGACTATTCTTTTAAGCCTATTCATTTCCATATGCCACTGGATAGAATTATGCAGATTACTGAAATTCCACTAGTTTTTTCCTTAACGGGCCAGTATGAAAAATGAACTTTGGAATTAAACATGCAAAGAGCAGGCAACTCCTTTCATGTGATTCAACAGAAGCTACATAAAGACAGGGCACCAGACAAGTCATTTCTCGGTTTACTGAAGCCCTTCTCTGAAGAACAGATGAAGAGATTCCTCTTTCTAGAACACAAGTACATGAAATTTTATGGGTAAAGCTTGTTTATATACATTATTAGCATATTCCTACTATTTATGCCCACTGTTTACAGAGAGATGAAAAGAGAAGCGTTACACTTAAATTAACACAACAGTGCCAATCACCAGTCCTTGTAGAGCTGTGGTGCTTTGTGAGGGTTAAGGTTGGGACTCTGTGTTGAGTTTGGAGGAAAACTTCATGGAAAAGTGTGAAGATTTTGGTTTTTTTTCCTGTGCAGAGCTGTGCAATATCCTTGCCTGGGCAATATCAACCTCTGCACACAGGCAATTTAAAAACAAGTTAGATGGCCAAAACCATCCTGTGGAAAACCAGTCTCCTCACTGCATCTTTATTTCCATCCAATTAAACTACTGAATTTCTATACATAATTTTGGAAGCTCACCTTGGCATATGAAAATGGGAATGACTTCTCCACTGTAGACATTTAAAACCCAAAGCTTAAACACACCCACATACCCTGATTGCCATTATAACTGCTGATAAAATGCAGTGGTATTAACAATAAAATTAGTTTTATTGTAAGTAGCCTCAGCAGACCCAGCCTAGAATACTCTTTTTCACCCTTTTTCCCCAGGAGTTTCTAGTTGGGCTGCCCACTCTCTACACAGCAGTATTAAATATAGTTACAGTTGCTACTCCAAAGAATCCACAGACTGCACACCAGCTATCTACAACTGGGAGAAAGAAGACAGTAATCTTAACCTCAAAGGTTTAGCACAGGAGCTTTATTTTACTGGCTCTGAACTACTGCTGAGTAACTTGGAGGAAGATAACTCATGGTAACACCAAACACCACTGCTCTGAAAAACACACCTTCATTCTGGTGTCATTTGTGGGTTTTTTGTAGCTACTGGTAAAGTTTAGTAGAAAGTGCTACTTGCATCATAGCACTGCATGATATAGAGCAGCCAGGTCAAGTTTGGGCCGTAACAGCACTAAAATTAAAAACTCGTTTAGTAACTCCCTATATACAAGTTGTAATTCCCAAGACTGAATTCAGATATAAATAACAGAGTATCCTTCTGGAAAAATGGGACTTGACACTCCAAGGGAGATCAAGTTACCGTTTCTCCACTTGTGAAATGAAGATTTATAGTTGCAACTGTCCTGGAAACAAGTGGTCAATCATGGGATCTGACAGGTATCTGTCACGTGGGGCTGATGCCATTTCATCTGAATTAGTTAACAGAGCTGCCAGACAAGACTCAAGTGATTTTTTTTTTCTTTTCCTACTAAGTAGTCCAACAGGCACAGAAAGTCTACTTGATCATCCTCATATTTGTGGTTCTCCAGAAGAACGAGCAGGTGAGCTGGAGAAAGCCCTGCTGCAGGAGGGAAACATCTCTGTGGGCAACTGCTGCGAGCTGCAAGTACCAGAAATACCCGGGGCAGGAATTCCCACAGCCAAGGGACTGGGGGACATAAACAGTATTAATGAGATGCATCACTACAAGCCCGTCCTGTTCTCAACCTCCTCCCTCTCAGGACGTGGCGCTGTCAGAAATGTGACACTTGAGCAGCGCAGCAGCTGGGCCAGCACTTGCCACTGCCCAGCTCTGCCTGCACTGGGCCTCCAGAGGCAGGAGGTTTTTCTTATTAATATCTGTAATATATTAATATTGCAGATAATTTCGCCACAAGCCCAAAAATCACCAGCGAAAACAAAAACGTGGAAACTTCTCCAGGGTTAACGAAATCAAATGTCAAGTGACCCAAGGAGAGCTAAAGAAGGTGCTCTATTGTCACAGAGCTTTCTCAGTATTTGTGCAGTGTAGATCCGTTCCTGGAAGTCACAGAAGATTCACACTTACTTCAAGGATAGAAATGACACCTCAGACTTCATAAAATCTGATGATAAAAGTAGAGACGTCTGAGACTTCTAAAGGAAAGTGCATAAACTCCTCAGTATGAAATGGGAAAAGCTAATAGCATTATCTAAATAAGAAAGGGATTAATCTCCAAAATGACTGTGTGGGGAGAGACCTCTGAAAAGCAAGCAGCAGCAAGTTGTTAAATATTTGATGTTAATGATTCCAGTTCAAAGACCTCTTTTAACTCGAAGCAAGTGGTTCTTTAAAGTTATTACAATGTTAAGAGGAGGATTAATTCTTGCTCCAAGTTACAAACTGTACCACAAGCCAAATTTATTTCCTGATGCCAGCAAGAAGAATGGGATTAGGGACGCTGCCAAGGAAGAGAACTCATTTACAAAATTAGTAGATAGACATGCTTAACTTGTATAATACAAACTCTAAAAAACTCCCCTGATGAGAGTCTTGACAAGCAGAAAAAATGTCTTTAACCTGTTAGAAATAAATGCTGATGGGGCTGCATGCACTGCTTTCCTAAGGAAAAGCCTTCCCTAACTCCAGCCTGCACTGCAGCAAGGGGAGAGAGGACAACCCCTGGCCCTGGGCCAAAGAACACGTCAAGGGACTGACAAGTCCTCTGGGCACCAGGCAAAGCCTCCTCCCATCAGCCTTCCCATACCCTCTCCCAACCAGCAGCACGGAAATGGCATGGCTTTGTTTTCCTCATCTCTGCTGGGGAAACAGAGTATCCCCAAAAAGCTGCTGGTGTGTGTGTGTAATGAGCAGACTGTGTTTAGCCACTGCACTGACGTTTGTGACACTCACACCGTCCTTGCAGAAAGCCACTCGTGAGGGCTGTGCAGATTGAAGTTCTGCTTCGTGTCAGGATACCGAGCAAACTTCTGCCCTCTCAGGGCACGGTTAACACCTTCTGCTCCAAGTTCCACGTTCTGGCAGCAGGAAGGGCCACTGAAATGCTCCCAGGTGAGCTCTTCCCCAGGTCAGTAGCACAGTTAAAGAGTTTTCTGTTCCACGGCATTTCAGAGTAAACCCTCACGAGCCCTTTGAGCAACGATTTCAGCGGCGCAGCTATTTCTGGTGACCCACAAAAATACCACACAGTTCCTCAGCAGCAGTTGAATACCCTGTTCCCTGCACTCAGCTGACCTTGTTTATGCACCAGCATCAACCAGAGAGCGTCTTGGCACGAGGAACAGCTATTATGTAAGTTGAGTCTGCTGTTGTCAAACAGAAAACCAGCAGTGTTCGTTTCAGCTCCACTAAACGTGGAGAGGGGAAAAAAAAAGAAAAAAAAGGCAAAAGGAAAGGCAATATTTGCCAAATTGGAAAGAACAGATAGCAAAAGGAAATCTGCAGTTTGAAGAGGCTCCCTGCATCAAGGAAGAACGCTGACACCACAAAAACCTCCTTTCAGTTCTACCAAATTTGAGATGATGGTAAAGCAGGTCATGCCTTTCAGGCTGCAAGAGAATTTAGTTTCTTGAATAATTAAGGAGACTTTACCATTAGATCTGAGCTATGAACACAGAAGTACACAGAAATTCAGAAGGCATCTTCTCCAACTGTGAACATTTAAGTTTAAACACAGGCAATAAAGGACTGCTGTGTTTATGGTTAGTCAAGTCTCAAAAACAGACTACGCAGCAAAAGCACTTCCTATATAGTTCTCACTACAAATGAAAAGAGGTTTGCAACATCAATTTTCTTGAATCCAATGTAATTCTTTAAAGCAATTTAGGCTTTTTTTAGGAGATACTTGCTGGAAAAATCATCAAGTATAAGAACCAGAACAAAAATCCAGGTGTTCCTTACACACCAACCCTTTCCTAAATAAATATTTACAGGTCTCTCCCCTGCACCTCACTACTGCTCACATCTTCAGCTACTGGCTTAATGAGAAACAGCACAGCTTGTGTCTGGACACACTTCTTTCTGTACAGGTGACTTACAAAAACTTTAAAGCCCTTTGGCTGAAGCAGATCATGAACAGAAACACTCAATTTCCTGCTTTACACGTTTTAAGCCCCTACGAAGCAAAAGTTTTGATTTCTTTGGGAGCCAGGCTAAATAAAATTGAGGTTGTATGACGTCATCACTCCCCACTACACGCACTTTCGAGAAGAACAAGTTTCTCTGGAACTTGGCACTCGTGACAAAACACTTCCAAACCTCTGGAGAGCAAACTTTTTACAACTGCCTGCCGGCAAGAGCCCTCAAAAAACTGGTAACAAAGCTGCAGAGCTGCTGAAGGCCCCTTGCTTCACATCTGGCAAAAAAAAACAAAACAAAAAAATCCCAACCAAACCCTAAACAAAACAACCCACCACCCTTCAGTAATTTCCACGTGGCACAGATATTACTGCAAAATAAATTTGTACATAAAACGTGTTTAAGGCACAAGTTCCTGGGCCCCACGACTTTTGATGGATTCAGTTTTAAACATGGCTTTGTTTTTTTCACTTTAATAAAGGCTCAGCCACAGAAGTCATGCCCACAGCCTCGGTGCTTCCTGCTGATGCTGTTCACAACACAGGTACCGAGCAAGGGACAGAGGGACAACCAAACAGATACCTCTGGAAATGAGACAAGCAGTTAAATAGTTACCTACAAGTCAATTTGTTTGTAGATTTATAGCAGTATTTGTTGGAAACCATCTCTATTTTAGAGTCAGAAATATTACAAAGTATTGCAAAGTATTCCATTGCAGTTAGGAGGGAATCATTAACTCACATTTAAGTGATCTTGCCTTTGATTTTTTCTGATTTTTTCTAAGATTGCAAGGTTCTCTTTTTCGATGCCTTCATCCTCAGACTTCTTCCCATCAACTGGTTCCTCCTCCTTCATATCATAGTGATCCAGATCTTCAATGTCCTAGAGGACAGAGGAAAAGTTAACTGTAAATAGCTGCACTATGCTCTTTGTTCAGTGAAACCCAGTCACACACTGCACAGCACTACGTATTTGTGATTTTTGGATACCGTTTCTATTTTGTTCTAACTTCATTTTTAGCCAACAGCATTGACTGGAAGTGCAGGGAGCCCTCACAACACAGATAAAACCCAAATTCACAACATGGCTCTGGTCACAGAAACAAGCCCAATAAAACCCCTGCATGAAGTCAGGACTGTAGAGAATTAGCCCATTAAAGTAGGTGGGGCTTGAGAATCCCAAAGTACCTGAAGTTAGGGTGGCTCCAAGATGTTTCTAAAAGCAGCCTCTTTTTTCAGTTTGAATCCTGTCTATACTACACTTCTGGCACACAGTCATTAACATCTCTGGCAGGGCCACAGTAGCCCCTCAAGAAAGTTAAATATTAGAAAGCTTTGTGTGCTTTATTCAAGGCGAACATTTCAGCTAAAGACCAGATGCAGGAACTTTGAAATTGGGACACGAGACAAAATTCTGTGGTCAAACATTGTTGATCACATCAGCAATTCTAGACCAAGACACTGAGAAATCCTCTGCTCTGGACTCTGAGCTGGGGTTGTCCCGTTGCAGAGGAGCACTCTGAGCTTCAGGAACTGCCTGGGAGGTGACTCGAGTGCTACTTGTGGAGAAGAGGGGAAGGACGTAAATACCCTGCCAAGAAAGCACTCCAGCAGCCACCCCAGCAAGCTCTGGTGACACAACTGTCAGAGACAACTCCAGCCACGCCTGGGGCTGCTCTTCACACACCACCTGTCTGCATGGCAGGAAAACCTGGCCAGAAACCCAACCCCAGGGATGTCCTACATCGTAAGAAACACCTCTCTAGTGCCTTTGACAGCGCTGTTTCCTCCAACTGCAACAGGCTGAGTGTTCTTTAAAATGTTTGTGTTTCTCAAGGCAATGAGAGAGCCCCAGGAATAAGCTGCTTTCCCATTTAGAACTTGGAAGTTGAAGATATCACTGCCACGCACAAAGACACCTGACAAGTTATAAATAACAGCAGATAATGTTTTTTTGGTTCAGTCTAAAAGTCTGTAGGTGTTCCCATCACCTTTACAGAAACACTGGCTCCAACAAATGTGGTCTGGATCAGACTAAATATGGTCTAAAAAAGGTGGTTTCAAATTCATTCCAGAACTTGGTAACATTTAGATCACTTCTAGAGGAAGACCTTTTAGTCAGAGAAAGAGTTGTTTATTCTTACTACACCTTCACTAAAAACCTAAATCTGAGGTCATCAGAACAGTTCTCCTACAGTAATGCTACTTAAAGCGGTTTAAAAAGCAAGCATCTTGGAGCTGTTCTACCAGGTAGCAGAAGTAAAATCAAAAGGGTAGTTCTTACTAAAAAGCTCATTAAAAGGAGCCCTGTGTTGCCAGACAGGGACAAAAAAAATTCAGTGTGTCTGTTTTTTGCTGTCCTTCCACTTCCTTCAACGTATCAGAGTTAAAAACTAGCTCAATCTGTTTAATGAATCAGCAAACTGATTTACTCAGCCAGTCTGCTTCGATTTGGGAGACACTTCCAACTGCATCAGAGCCAGTTCACATGAAACAGGAGTTAACAATGTAAGAACTTACTGCTTTGGCACACAATGTTATGAATTGTTTGACTAAAGCACAAACAGATGTCCCATTCTCTGTATCCAAGTACCTCACAGCTGAGATCTAGGTTTAAGAAGAAAATTTCACTAGTTTTGTGGTTGAGGCGAAAGCTGACAATCAGGTAAACATCCACATTTTTAATTATCTTTTCTGTTGAACTCTAGGGAGGTTATATTTTACTGTTTGGCTTCATTATTAAGCAGTCACTGCAGAGCAAAATGCCCCATTTCTACTAGATAGGACAATTTCATATACAGACATACTTCACCCATGTCCTCTTCTTCCTCCTCCTCTGATGTAACTTCTTCTGTCGTTCCATTCTGCAACACAACAACAAAGTTCCTGCATAAATTCTGCTCAGGTTCCTTCCTTTCAAAAACACAAGTCAACTCTCAAAGTGGAACAGTAAATATGAAAAATTACACTTATCGAGGTCTGCCAAGGACTGAAGGTTAAAGTGTGAGATGCACAAAAATGCTTCCCTGCAGTATGACAGTGAAGAGGCTTTTGCATGAAGCAAAGATAAACAGAATGTCACAATTAATTCCAATTAAGTTCTATTTTTAAACAGAAACTTTAAATTCAGATAAGGGATATCCTATACTGAGACAGTGACACAAGCAACAAACACAGCAAAGGGGGTTACAATTCACGATCTCTTAACCATGAAATCAGACCATGGCTCTGACTAAAATCCATCTCTGTGCTATACTCTTAAAAAAAGAAAAAACCCAACAAACTTCAGACCTCAAACTTCTGTGTAGCCACTACTATCATCATTGTCTTCAGATGATCTGAAAGCACACCAAACCAACGGTCTGAGTTGATTTTTCACGGTTTTCTATGTCAGGGAACCACTTGAAGCTCAGCAGGTCTGATCTGCAGACACACTCAGGAGCTTTCTGATAATGCTTGTCCTGTGCTTACTCATCCCTGGGTACAGCAGGAATGGCACTGCCCCAGACAGTGCAGGGGACTGGATGGATCTTTAGTCAGATTTAATAAGGCCGCTCTCATTTAACTTGCAAACTGCCTGACAGGAGTTGGGTTGTGAGCTTTGGAGCACATGCAAGACTCCTCACAAAGGTGCTTGCTAAGATCACAGGCCGGCTGCCTCTGCTGTGGGGGTGGCTCAGAGGAGGGACCCGTAGGATTCCAATCTGGCACGTGACCAAAATTAAGCAAGTTATTTGTCATTGCTGTAGTACTGCCACCACAGGAAAACCATCTGCTACACTACAGGAGCTTTTAGAAATCATGTCATCTTAACACAAGAAGCTATCGTAGTCTTATTAAAAATACAAAAAAGAACAGTTACTACCCATTTCCAGTTCTGTTTTCAGCACAATGCAAAACATTTTGGTTACCAAGAACATCTCACAGCTCCGTTTGTCAGGGGCACAAGAAGTAAACAAGGCACCTCAGATACTCCCTACCCCAAAGCAGCACATGGTCTGGAATCCCATGGCTCTGCAAGGGATCCAAGAGGAAGGACAACATCAACAGCAGTTCATCCAAGTGCCCACTGTCAAACATACACACTTCAACAGACAGCAAACCCTTCAGAAAAAGGAAGTTTGGGAAGCACTAGGAGTGCACAGCAATCGGCTTGAACAGTGTTTAGGAGGGAATATAAACTTGACAGCACTGGTATCACTTACACACCTTCCAGTGATACAGAAACTCCGAAGGAAATTGTGTAATGTTATCACACCATTATTAAACGGATTTTGCAAACAAAATTCAGACTGAGGACGCCACAAAGCAACAGTGCTGCACATCTCAGTTCTGGTTTACACAATGTTCAATCATTCCAACCACCTTCTTTCTTGGGAGTTGGAAAAACAACTCCTTCATTGCCATAAGGAGGTGCCCACAGCTTTTTGAGTTTACCTGTCCAGCTGGCAAGGGCTGATCTAACATTTCAACATCTGGATGCTGAGGCAGATTATATAATCTGCAGAGGTCACATATTAATCGCTTCAGCTGTTGAAGAAGCTGTAAAAAAACGAAAACATGGAAATGGTTAGAACCAAAGCACAGAGCAGTACTTGGAATTTTCTTCACACATTGGCACTGAACCTGAAGTCACTGTACAGCATTTAAACCTTCTAGGGCTGGAATAATATTTAAAGAGCCCTCTTTTCCTCTGTAATCACTGTAACAAAGCCCCCACTGTGGAAACACGGCAATCCAGAGATGGCTCCCATTCATCTCCCCATGGCAAGTGAAGAAAGCCATGAGCAGAACACTCTGCCCCGACATCATCATCCAACCCAGACACAGGTGTCTGAGCCACAGATCACTGTGGAATAAGCAAGAGGCAGCGTTCCATGAGACAACATGGTCCATTCCCACTGCCCAGCTTAAAAAAACCCACGTCTTCAAAAAAACCCAAGGAGGAACAGTCTGAGTCTGATTTTTCATATCCTGAACTCTTCCACAGGGCACACCAGTGAGGCACTGGGAGCAAGACAAGCCTGCTCTTATCTCTGATTTCTGTTTCTAACTTGCAGCATTTCACTGACACTCTTTTAACTGCAAGGCAAGAACACCTTACACTCACTGTTACTCAAGCCAGAAAAATCCTTCAGTTCTGCAGAAACAGGCAAACATTAATTAAGTTGATTTCCACAACTGTTAAATTTCTCCAGGCAGCCTCAGATTCCCAGTTAAGGCCAAGACACGGAAGGCTGTACTACTGCACTCCCTAACTTTTCAAGGGCTTTGCACAGCTATGTCAGGAAAACAAAGAAAGGACTGCAGAAGGCATCTGTAAAAGGATCCACACCTCATTATTTGCAGGATGACTCCCTAGATGAAGCTTGCAAAAAATTATACATCCATTTACGCACTTTTCTTCCGGACACCAAAGGGAGTTCGTCCTGCCACTTGTCAAGGAAAGTGTGTTAGACACCCAAGTGGGCACACACATCCCTCAGCACCACTGAAGTGACATCTGAGTGGCAACCCCCTCCCCCTGAAGCACTTCCCTATAAGGGAGGGAACTCAGGGAATGTGCCCTCACCCAAGGCACAGCACAGACTTCACTATTTTGAAAGAATTATAACTCTACAGCACTATTTGGTGTTTGAATTTCTTAAAATATACAGTAAATCAAAGTAAAAAAAATTATCTATTCACTCCAAAATACTGGGCACGTCTAAAGCTATTGGCCAGTTTAGATGCTCTTACCTTACTCTGCAGCAAGTGAAAACGCAGTCTCTCCAGGGTTAAAAACTTATTGCCAAGCCCAAATCACTAGCAGTGATAAGCAAATGTTGCCTTTATGCTATCTGAAAGCTCCAGTGCTTTTCCCTTCTACAGCAGAATTCCACATTCTGTGTAATAGGAATGCTATTTATCCATCTGAGGCCATGAACTCAGACACCAGCCCTGCACTACAGCAATGATGTCACTCCCTCCCATCACACCACATTTGCTGTTCCTGCATTGTGCATGACAGTCATCCTTCACTCAGAAATAAAGCAGATAACACCGAAAGGACTGGAGTATCAGCACCACATTTCTTAGGAGTGAACACATGAGATGTGACGGTTTATGTTGCCCAAAGCTTTCTGTAACAAGCACGTTTCTCACCGACATTAGGACTCTACATCTGAAACCTCCTGGGTGTCTCAAACATCAAGCAATCTTTTAGCAGGCAGAAATCAGGTTAATCCCTCAACAAGTTAGTTGCCAGACAGAATCAGAGGTCTAAGAACTACTGTTCTCAATAGGTGCAAAATGCTTAAAGCTGCACCACTACACATTCTGCTGAGAAACTTTTTCTCTGCACAAACACTGCCCCACGGAGAGCTGGAGCATAAACCATACAACCTGAAGAGTTGTCATTTTTCTCTCAGAGCTGTGTAAACCCAGGCAAGCCATTAATTTGTTTACATCTGCTGTGAAGCGCACACACATAAAAAAAAATAAAAAATCTAAGTGGTGGGGGAAGAGCAGCACCATCAGCAGCGGGCTGGTCCATCAGCACTGACCTTGGACAAGCAGATGAAGGCAAGATTAGATGTGTCTACACTGGAAGAGACAGCAAAGGCTGGAAAGAGTTCAAGAACTGCTTCCTGCCCCGGTTCCTCCACTCCCCATCCTGCTCATGAGAAGTCCTGTCACCTGAACCAGAACTAAGAAGGAATTTTTGCAGCTGTCGTGGTTTTGCTCTGGGTCAGTTTTGTTTTCCACCCCCCACATAATTACTACTAGTTGAGAGAAGGTATTTGCAGACAAAAGAGAGACAGGATTTGGGGAAAACAGTATATACATTTATTACTAGTAAAATAAAAACTACTAATAAGTAAAAGATTAAAGAATTATATCTATAGTAATTTCTACTCAAGTTAAAGTGCTATATATATTTACACAAAAATACTTCTTCCCTTTTATATCAGTCTAAGGAGAAGAAGTAGTTTCATTCTGTATCTTTGGAGTTCCAGCTTTTTCCCTCTAGTAACAGATCTTCAGCAGCAGTAGCACTTTCATTGCAGTTGGAATTTCTTCTCTCTCCCTTTCGTTCTGTGTTGGCTTCCAGGGCTGGGCTTACCCCCCTCCTGGGCTAAGACTGAAGGATGGAGATTACTCAGGTCCCGAAGGGTTTTTCTTCCATAGGCTTGCAAGGGGACACTTGCTTACTATGGATCTTCTTCCACAGGGTTACAGGGGATAATGGTTTAAGAGTCTACCCCTGTTTCCCTATGGAGGTCCCTCCCCATGGGAGAACAGTCTTTGATAGACTTCTCGGCATGGGTTTAGCACGAATCCCACACACACACGGGTTCCAGCATCTCACATGGGCCATCTCGCTCCAGCATGAGATTTCTCAGAGTTACAAAATCTTCAACAGCAGTATAGATCCACACACGCACGGATCTCGGTATCTCACCTGAGTCATCACTGCTCCAGCACAGGTTTCCCTCAGGGTTGCAAATTTCCATCAGGACCCTGTCTCACTTCAGTTCTTTTCATGAAGCCTTGGTTCTCTTTGGTACATCCACAGACTTCTTTATCAGTTGCATGGGAAGTCTCCTTACTTCAACAAAGTTTTACAGGTGGCAGGGATTTATTTTCAGTCTTTTCCCTGCTAAGGAGAGAGAGTAGAAAGGCAGGGGGGAAACAAGCCTCCCCCCTTTCGCACTTTACTTTTATTGCTGTAGTTTCAGCTGCCAGCTTCGACCTTGGAAGCTCCGTTATCTTTCGGCTGGAATTTTTCCACAGCAGTTTCTGTCCAAGCAGTCCGTCTTTTAAACTTTTTTTTCTCTTCACTCTCTTACAAGAGAGAAGGGAGGACTTCAGTGCTGCACCTGCTCCCCCCCCCGGCCCAAGCCGGGGGAGGAGGGAGTCTGGCCCTGCTTCGGGCCTACTACTCCTCTCCCCTACATGGCTGCTACTCTAATTCCAACTGCGCCAACAACCTTCTCTTCCGTTTTCTTGAAGATGTAATTAGCAAAGGCGTTTCTGGACTTTTGATTGGTCTTTTTGTCCGGAAATTATCTGGACAAAACCATCATCAGCCCCAGGGTTGGGCTGAGGGGCAAAACCACGACAGCAGCCAGGCCCCAACACCCTGGAAGGTTCTCACAGTCCCATCCAAGGCAGCACCACAAGCAAGGGACACTAGCACCCTCCAAGCAACAACCTGCTGGCCCAGCCTGTGCCTCCTCACTTCCACTGGCCCCAGGGATCACACAGCCCTGAGGCAGCTGAGCAGCTTTGGGGTGGATCAATCCCCAGTTACACCATGAAGGGGAGGCAGAGAGGTGCAGATGGCAGCAGGGATGCCCTGCCTTGGCAGGATCCTGCCCTTCAGGGTTACCTTAATGCAGCTGTCACTCTACAGAACGTTTTTAGAGACCAGCTGCTTTGCTTGACATCAGTGTCTGCAGTTTGCAAAGGTGGTGGCAGAGAGAGCAGCTCATCCTCTCTCTACAATCCTTCTATTTATTGTTACATTTTCCCTCCCCAGGAATTCATTTCATACCCTTGATCTTTCTGCCATGATCACCATCACTTATCCCTTGTACTCTGCTCCTATGTATGAAAAACCACAGGATAATTTGGGCTGAAAGGCATGTCTGGAGGACATCTGACCCAGCCCCATGCTCTAAAAGCAGGGCCTGGCATGATTTGGTGTGTGTTGTTATGCACAGACTGTACCAACAGGAAAAGATTTCTGTCACGTATCAATAATTTACATGCATTTCCAGGGTAACTTCACAGGCTTGACTAATGTAAAGTGAATGCTTAACACACACACACACTTTGAGGTTACTGAAGGAAAGGGGCTATCAGGACACCAAGAGTTTCCCTGGAATACAGACTGCCTAAAGCACAAACTCAACACAGAATGCACAACCAGAACGCACAACCCTCTGGGGACTGAAGGAGCCACGTGAGGAGCCTGCAGAGGGGAAATGCTCAAGTGACCAAATGCAGTGACACATTTATAAACCTATTACATTGATTATAATTAATATAAAAGTAAAAAAGACATAATGCACACCCCTGTCATTTTTAATCCTTCAGGAGCTCTGAGAAATTGGCAGTTGTTGTGGACACCAAAGTGCTGGTTTAGAACACAAAAACACTTCTTGGAGTTTTCTGTTTCCTATGTTAACAACCTACACATCTGAGAGCAGCCTGGAACTCTCTCTTTCTGAAACCTAGGCTACACCAGGAGGCTTTTTATGCATGGAGAGATTTTTCCAACGCAGTATGAAAGCATTAACAATTTTAGGATCCCTTTGATGATATTAACACCCTGCTGGGTTCACTGGGAAACACCTTGGGTTTGGATTATCACAGAAACTGCTCAAGGAGGATAGAGATGGAAACAGGGAAGCAATAACTGTAACCTGGAGCGTGGCCACCACCCAGCTCTCAGGTAACCTGTGGCAGCACCTGCCCTCACACAAACTCAGCAGCCTTGGCCAGCTCCAGGAAGAAAAACAAAGCTTATTCCTGCATTTTCTCTCTGGATTCCCAACACATGATCAGCTGCTGCTGCACTGGAAGTTTGCAAGAGACAACATCCTTCCCTGAAGTGCCTCCACGTGGGACTCACTGTAAATTATTGACATCCAAGCAGCATCCTTCAGGACAGCAGCTCATCCAAGCTGTAAACACACTCCTGCCAGGAATTCTGTACTTTTGCCATCTTCCATGCAAGTCTAAGGCCTAGAGAGAATGAAAACTATCTATCTGAATTTAAGTCCACTTCCCTATTCTCTTTAAAAAGCAAACCTCCAAACAGCATGTAGTTACCCTTAGTACGTCATGAAGGTTTGAGGCTTCAGACTCACCTCATAGAGCTCCCACCATATCAAACTTCCCAAGGCTGTAGGATTTCTCTTTTGCATAGCACAACCACTAGAAGGCAGGTGGCAGTTTCATACGTATCAAGTCTAACGTGATGCTGGATTTTTCAGGATCTGAAAAGCAGTTCAGCAGACACTGAGGGCTGGAAGAACTGTGCAGCCCCTTCATCTGCTGACTGGAACTCGTTCAGCATTGACAGTCAAGCAGCTAAAGTGTCCAAACCGAATGATGTCTATGCTGATCACATTCTTAACCAACCTTTCAACACTTTTGGTGGTTTGACACATTTTCCCAGCAAATGCACCATGCTCATACAAGGTAATTCCACAGTTTCGGGTCAGTAGATTTTCCAGGAAACACATCCAGGATTTCAACACCACAAACCAGTTTTTTTCTCACCATGTCAAACGACAAGGCTTGCTTTCCCCTGTCAAACATTTATGCCTGAAGAGCATAAACTCAGTTTTCCAAACAGCTGATACCTGTCACAAGCTACAAATCAGGTAGAAAGGGCAGAGGAATTCTAAAAAAGGCTAAACCAGGGTACATGTGCCAGCAGTGCTTTTGGCACACAGTCACTGTGCCCAGTTAAGCTCCTGCAAGAGTCCTGTGCCATTTCCCATTCAAAATCTGATGGTTCCAATGACTTTGAGTTTAGAGTAACACGGCACTAATGATCCCTTTACCTCCAATAAGTGAAGTGATAACTGGTTTGAAAGATTCTAGGAAGGTAAATTAAACTACGTGAATTTTTCGGAGACTGGGATAAATTAGAAGCCTTTGGATTTCTACAGGTGGTTCCCTATCCCTTCCTACCCTGCTCCAAAAGCTGTGTGAGCTGCTCCGATGCCACCAAAGGGGAGGAAGTTGCACGGAGAAAAGTTGTGGGGAGAAAAAACAAGCCAGATTTTGTAGTGTATTTATCTCTTCAACCACTCCCATCTGCCTTCATCTTGGCATAATGAGACGCAGGGTGGATTCCTGAGAAACCAATGGGCCATCCACAGGTGCCTGTTACATCAACCCAGCAGCTTTCACCTGGGCAAGTACAATCTTGATATCAGAAGCTGTTTTCTTATCAGCTCCACGAGCAGTGTCTGTGCATAAGCAACCGAGCACAGCCAGTGCCATGCGTGTTTACAGCAAAGCCTTCCAGCCCAGTGCAGGCAGTTCCACAGAGGAAACATCCTCTGCAGAACCCTCAGGCTGAAGCCATCAGCCACACCAGCTTCCCACTGTACAATCCTCTGCAAAGTGTATTTCAGAGAAAAAAAAAAAAATAAAAAAGATCACTTGGCCAGATTTTCTGCCACTATTCCGTTCTGTGTCTTTCTAGAAGTCACAAAGATTAAGAGATCCATCACATTCTTCTGAAGTGGTTTGATCCAAAGTTCAGGTTGAAGTACAAAATGCACAACTAAGACCTGTGGCTCCTGCAATCACATCCAACATAAAGTCACCAACATTCCTCTGCAACTGTTTTTCATTATGGCAAGGCCCTTAAAGGCTCTCACTTTAATTAGTGTCCTAATTATTTCTGCAAGAAGTCAAATGCATCCTAAACATTCTTTAGAAAAAGACTCTTGTACATCCCTACATTAACATCACGCCAGTAAACATGACAAGTAGTAGACTTCATAAGAACATTCCCAATTTTTCCAAACCAGGCAAGTACTAAGCACACAATCCACGCAATAAGCAGGATTCTGCAGGCTGATTTGTTTTGTATGCATAAACAAACACAACATGTTAAAATAACCTATTAATAAAGATCACCTTTAGAGGCTACTTAATAACCGTAAAGCTGAATTTGGAGTGGAAAAACAACACTTAATCACCGAATTTTCAGCGTGCTGCAAATACTAATCCTTGGGGCACAAACTGCATTTGTACTGACATTTGTCTCCAAGCGCTATTCAAGGACACTTACTTTCCTACACAGAATGGGAAGTTAATTTTTATATATCCACACACACACAGAGCTCCTATCACTGCATGAAAAGGGTACTCAAGTCAGATACAATGCTGGAGAGTTTTCTGCAACACAAAACAACCATTAGGATCTGTACAGAGATTTCCTTCAAGCAGCAATTGCCCAAAGTCACAGCCCTGTTTAAATGCATCGGTCCCTGAGGAACATTCAGATGAACCAGAAGCTCTCAGGTCAAGTCTCCTTTACTGAATCCAGGAATTCTCTGTATTATACCCACATCCTCAAGAATGTATGTTTTGCCTCTGTAATTAATCTCTGTGCAAAGAAAACTCTACAAGAGCTGTTTTTTTTTTTTTTTCAATAGTTTTAACGTTTTCATCCACTTCACTGTTTAATTATTTTCAGAAAGCTTCGCACTGTAATTACTGGGCCTGTAACTTCACTTCTCTTACAGAATAAGCATTTAAATAATCTTTTCCTCCTTACCTCAAATCTTTTTAGATTACTTGTGGCTCGTATGACTTTGGAAAAGAAAGTTGTTTTTACAAAACCTCCCAAACGACCCCAAAAACCAAAGAAACTGAACTGCTTGTTAATATGACAAAGAAAAATAAATCCCCAAACCCAAATAAATGCCCAAAACCACCAAAACACTTTGCTCACCAGAGTATTGCTCTTCTTAATATCTTCTAAACGCTCTAAGACTGAAGTCAGGTTTGGGTCATCTGATTCTACAAACCATATTGGTGATGAAGAGGGGTAAGACTCCTGTTAAAAGAACAAACACAAGACCCAACAAATAAATAATCAGAAAAAGCACCAAAGCTTTTAAAAATCATTCACTCCCCCCAAAAAAAATTTCACAACACAGTATTTTATCTTCTTCTATGCCAGGTAATACAGAAGCTTTTAACACCACTTTTTTTTTTAAGCAATGCAAAAGAAGTTGAAAGAAATCCAGCCACCTGGTTGTTCTAGTATTTCAACTTATTTTAATGTTGCTCAGATGATGGATAGACATCAGAAACATTGCTGAAGAGTTTAAAACCTTGGGGGCAGGCGGAGCAGGGGGGGAGAAATTTAAAAGTGCAATACAGGTGATAATGACCAAAAAAATGGAACCATAAGTAGCACATGTGAAAGAATAAAACTGTATTGATGCTGGTTTTGTTCACATTGTGAGGATGGAGGGAACCACAAAGCTTCCAACTCAACAATAAATGTCCTTTCACACCATTGACATGTCTGGATCTTATTTGTGTCAGTTATTTAAGGCATTCTCTACTTCTCACCCCTTCAATTATATTTTAGTAGCTAAAGACAAATTGCTGAACCTCAGTTTTATCACCCAGATATTATCTTCATATCCCCAGGTCTGAAAATTCCCTCATTATCTCAGAATTCATTTCCCTCAGTGCAGTTGAAAAGGAAAAACTCCATCTTTCTCGTTTCCAGAGACAACAAATCATGCTTGATTCTTCCACATTTAGAGTCAAGTCTAACTATGTTAGAACTGGCTTTTAACAATACAAAGCCTAATTCCTCACTGGACCTCCTGGCTGAGGTGCTGAACCCCACAGGAGAAACCATGGGATTACAGGACATCAATTTTAGCAGAACAGACCATCACAACAGTTCCCCCCTGGCATCACACTCCAGCAAAGCTCTGCCTACAGAGGTCTGAAAATTCCCACCCGTAAAGGCTCTGCAGAAACTTATTTTTTAAACAGGCTCATTCCCCATGAGTTTATTTTCTTCTCCTAAATCCCAGCTAAAGCCACCTTACAAGAAAACATGATATTCCCAGTATCTTTATGAAAAGACAAACTGTTCACATCTTTCATCTGCACTTCAAAGCACCCTACACATAACACAGAGACCTCAGAATATCTACTCCTGATTAACTAAGGCCTAACATCTCACATGTCCATCAGGAAAGCCCAGTGCTCAGCTCACCAAGATTTATGGCCAGGGCAGGCTCACAGATGGGTACACCCATGTGGTTTAATCCTTTTTCTCCTTTACACAACACAGCAGTAGGAAAAGTGTTATTTTCTCCTCACTTTCACTCAATGTACTCTTGAAAGACTAACCAGGTTCTCTGTGGGAGAAACAAGATTGAACTCCCTCCCCTCCACAGGGTTTCCAAACCATTATTATTAGGCACTGAACTTCATTAAAGATAGTCCAGGCTTTGTGCTGATAACATCTCTCTCATTTTTAATAACATGCAACCTACTTGTAAAGCCTTCTGCAGTGGTGCAATATCCTCACCTCAAGCCTTGCACACTGCACACTGATCTCGATGCACAGGGGGCCCCACTACCTCAAGACCTGCTTGAACCAGCTGTTTTTGAGCCCTGAACTTCTCTCATTCACCTTTTTTAGTTGAGAGAAAGGCAACAGAGTAAACACAACTACCACAAGTTTAGATTACACCAACATTCCTGTCAGGAAATACAAAGAACAAGCAAAATCCTCTCCAAGACTCACTAAACCACCTGTTTCTTAAAGTCCTCAGACTTGTTAGAATAAAAATATTCTCCAGTCAACATTTGGACTGTGTATGCACATTCTCCTAAGAGGTATTTTTAATCCTTTTTTTTTTAATCAAGCATTTTTTAAATTTTTAAATCCCAGCACATGTGAGATCAGGCATGACCAGGGCTGACAGTGCACACCTGATGATCAAACACTCCCAGAGTGTTTAAATGCCTTCTGCACTGGATGACGGCCCTTGCTCTTGTTCTGCTCTCATTCCATTTATCAGCACTGAAAACAAGTCCTCCTGTAAGTGAGAAAACTTACAATTTGATACTGCCTGGATTATTAGTGCACAGCACATATGAATGACCATGCCCCCCAAAATTATTAGCTATTCAAATTCTTAGTCTGATTTAGCTTTTCAAACGTGAACAGGAACAATGTACTTCTCAGAGAGGCTTTTCTTTAAGACTGAGAGTGTATTTACCCAGCTGTATCAGAAAAGATTTCAAACTTCAGGTTTTTGGAGGATGGATATTTGATTGTGCGCTCCAACTTTTTCACAACGGGTGCTTAATGTTAAAATACAAAGCTCAAACAAACTACTCTTTTGTTGCAACACTTTTTAACTCTTCAGACTTGCCAATAAATATATTCATTTTCCTTTAAAATCAGAAATGGCATTAAGTTTCTCTAGATCTGTATGCAATCCATATTTTGGGAACAGCTGATTTCCACGTGGACATGAGTCACTGTACTTTGAAACACAGAATTCACACACAGAACTTCAGACATTCTGAACTTAAGATGCAAAGAGGCTCAGGAGTTTGTAACAGCCACATCATGCCACTTAGAACTAAGCTTGTGGTTTGTTAAGGTCACACAACTCAACTTCACATCAGCTAATTCTGTTGAGAGAATTAAAGCAGCTTTTTCTGTCCTATCTGCATCCTGCAGAGATAAGGGTTGGATTTGAGCTGTTATGCCATGTAAGGAACAGGCTTCCCAGATAACAAAGTTTCATGAGAGGAAGCTCAAAATAGAAATTATTTTAATTCTCCGTGGCTAAAAGCCCCGTTATGTTGGGCCTTTTACTATCCAGCTGACAGACAGGGATTTTTGGATGTATAATCCATCACCCACATTAAGTGTTCGAGATCCTTTATGTAACTGCTGGAACACGACATCTCCTTGCTCTCTCAGAGTAAAAACACACCCTCATCCCGAGAGGCAAAGGCTCAAGACAGTACCCGGGGACAGCTCCAAGAGCCAGGTCAGGTCCCAGCGCGGCTGTGCCACCCTGACTGTGCCACCCTGACATCACACCTCGCCGGGACAGACAAAGGCGGGGTGTTTACAGCAGCCCAGATACAATCACAATTCACGGCATCATCACTTCTGCAGAGCCTTTGTATCGGCAGCGGGACGGACTGGGGGAGCTTTGTCAACACAAACGCTGCTGTCACAGAACGAGGCGAAAAGAATTCAGCCCGCTAATAAACACACAAAACACAAAGAGAGCAAAGCCCTGCGCTCCTGCCAGGGGAACCATTTCAAACCCCAGCAAATCATTCAGGAAAACCGCAGCGTGTTAGAAGGATACACACGGGATCTCGCTGCTCAGACATTCCATTACATCCCCCACTTAGATTTTTTTACTGACGATTTTGCTTACGAAAGAAAAAAATAAAAAAAAAAACAAACAAGGGGCAAAAAAGCGACAGAAGATTGCAGGAACACACACATTAAGACAGCTTTTCCCGGGCAGGATCTGTCATCTAAGTATATCCTATCTAAGCTTTCTCATCCGTAACAATAAGGCTGTTTTCCTTGCGATGTTATATAATCGTTACCCGGCTCTCCAAAGCCACAGCGACACAATTTTGCTGTCGGTGAGACACTTTTAAACGAGCTGTTCCTAAACGGCTCCAATACCGCGAGGCTGTTAAATTGAAACAAGACATCTTGCTCCTGCTCTCGCGATCAGAGCGACCTGCACACCCGGTTTGCCACCGCGTCTGCTCCTTCACAATCGAGCCATTTCCTCGAGCCCGAGCGGCAGGAACGCACATTTCAACACGCGGCTGCTGCATCATCACCTCCGCTCACACTTACCCGGGGACGCTTCCCCACTGGCTTTAATTTCCAGATCACAGTAGATGGAAAAAGTGCAGGGGTTTCTTCTAAAAATCCTTAGCGTACTGGCGGAACAAAATGCAATCCCCATCACAGACAGGACCCAGTTCTGTTCTTTTTACACCAGCCACAAAAATCAGCTCAGTTTTAGTTGTAACAGCACTTCTGATTTTTTTATCTGCTCAGTCCCAAAGTTTTTCATCACCCCCACTTCACTTCCCAAAAGCAGAACATCGGAGTCCCAGATCTTTTAACCAGCTTAGCTACTTTGAGAAGGCTGGAACGAGACCATTCCAGCTCACCCAAATCTTGGTCATGAAGTGGGTAAATCCTAATGGAACAAGACATCCCAGAGGGCTAATGCAGTCCTCCCAAGGTGAATAAATTCACAGCTATAACAATCTCAAATCATGGATGGCTCTCCCTCAGCAAGCACCTTGATGCTACCATTGGCTGTGGATAATATACACACCCAAATGAACATTCAATAAATACTGAAGATTAAACTCCACAATTAGCTACAATTTAGTACACATTATTTGCGACTCTTAGTCAATCATTCACTAGTTATTTTTCACCTGCCTCAAGGTGCCTTTAGAGGGAAAAAAAAAGAAAAAGCACAGAGTTAATATTAACAAATATATCAGGATTTGAGAAGATATTCTTAAAGCTAAAGTTTAGCCTGCTGATCATAAAACACTAGTACTTACAGCTGCTTAAAATAGCATTAGCAGTGATTACACAACTGACAGACTGTTTCCCATTATTAGGGGCCAAATTTTCCAAAGGCAGCTTAAAAGCCATAAGCATTTTCTACCACTAGTTACTCAAGTGCCAGAGAAATGTTACTTGAGTAACTAAAATCACCAAAATTCGTATTTTCAAACATCCAGACATCACCATTTACTCTGTTGCACAGCTAAGCTAAGGAACATGACAATATTCTATCATCTGCACTTTTAAGGAAACGACAAATCTTTCACACATAAAAATCTAACATGTCAGTGATCCAGAGTTCTAAAGGTTAAGAAAAGTGTTTGCAACGGAGGGTTTAAAAGGGAAGTTTAATACTGGTGGGTAGTGAGGAAGCAAAGTGAATTCTACCCACCTCTGCTGAACAAGAGGATAACTTCAACCTGCTTTTCCTT